GAGGGCAGGGGAGGAGGGAGTCCGCGAGGGTGGTGCTGTGCATTTGTCCAACCCTGACACACTCCCCGGGACTTGGAGACACCCTGGACTTAGCCACCAGGAGCAGGGACAGGAAAAGGGGTGTTCCCTCCCCTCCAGCCCACTGGAGGGCACCAACCAGTACTAGTGAAGGGTGGGGGAGGGAAACCTCCAGGAAGTCAGGAGCCAGTGTTCAGGGATGTGCCCTGATATCTTCCCCCAGAGACTGCGGGACTGCTGAACTGGGCTTCGAAACACCTCAGATTTTTCTTGGAGCACTTCCCGAATCTATGGGGCTTTCAGGATCTTTGGGATTGACTGTCTTTTCTTTCCTTCTCCTAGACCCGGGAGTTTATCTATTTATAAAATTACAGTAAATAAATATTTATTTATAACATTGTAGTAAAAAAACTTGCCATTAAACCATTTTTAAGTGCACCGATCAGTAATGCGAAGTACATTTACACTGCTGTGCAGCCATCACCACCGCCCATTTCTAGAACATTTTCATCTTGCAAAACTGAAGCACTCTAGCCAGTAACAATAACACCTCACCCTGCCTCCTGCAGCCCTGGCCACCACCACCCTGCTTTTTGTTGCCATGATTTTGACTGGTCTAGTCACATAAGTGGAATCATGCCTTATCTGTCCTGTGTGTCTCGCTTATGACAGTTAGCATAATGGCCTCGGTTTATCCCGATCTTAGTGTGTTTCGGGGTTGACTGTTTTCATTCTTCTATGAACTAAAACTCAGAATTCAGATTGCCTGATTCTCTTTTCTTAAATTACCTTCAGGAAAATTATGATGCTGAGAAAAGACAATAAGAAAATGAAAGCTGCTCTTGAAAATGCTTTCTGATTCAGAGGGATGTTGAAGTGAAGGGACCCTGAAGATTTTCTCCCAAATTAGGAGGCTGTCAGGACTAGATGTTAAAAATAGAAAGAGTGACTGCAATAGAAGAGTGACATCAGAATGGAAAGCTCTCCAAGGAAAGCATGAAAAGAATGAGAATGGCTACACAGAACTAATTTCTTTGAGAGTAACACACAATAAAAGAAAAGCAAAGACGAGGTTGGCACCTTCTTGGGCAGGGAGAGTGGGAATGAACTCTTGAGCCCAGGGGAGGCGGGGTTGATCTGATTGCCGCTTTTGTGATGTTCAGCTTGGTCTTTGGCCAAATTTAATACCTCCCTTTACTCCTGTGGCTCCTGTCAAGAAGTCAGGAACATTCTCATTAACTCACAGATTCCTTTGTAATTAGACTCAGACATATACTCATTAGCTCATTACCCTTTTGAATTAAATTTCCTGATGGGATACACGAATACATTGGATTTTATGAAATAATCTTCTTCCCCCCACACCTCCTTTTTTTCACTGTTTCTGGCTTGGAGTAGCACTATTTGTTCAATGAATGAATGATTTTATTTTTACCAGCACAGCTGCACTGGTTAGACACCTCAAGCTCACATATAACAGCATGCACAACAAAATTTATACTCTGAATTCAACTTTCTTTTTTCCTTTTTTTTAAAAAAACATTTATTTATTTACTTATACAAGCACCGGGTACAGTCAGAAGCGCAGGAGGGTGACAGAATTCACCAGAGCCAGAGCGGGGAGCAGAGCAGGCAGAAGGACCAAGTACACTGCTGAGGGGAGCAGCGGGCGGCAGGAGAGGTCTGTGCGCCATGTGGGACCCTCGCCGGGCTGCCTGGAATCAAACCAGTGCTGCAGAGGCTGTGGGCAGCTTCGCAACCCAGCACTAAACTGCCGCGCCACCAGGGAGACCCTTTGAATTCAACTTTAACTCAATTTTACTGATATTTTTGACAACGTGGCCTTATTCATATGGCAATAAGTATCGTGGTCAAGAGCATGGACTCTAGATCACATTGCTTATGGACTTTAAATTTGTTACAAAGGTAGTAACTAAGCAACCGTGGGGATATACATAATCTCGCTGTACCTCACTCCTCATCTGTGAAATGGGAATGTTAATAAGACCTTCTTTGCTTTGGGGCAGCATTTCCAACCATGGTTTCCATTCATTTCTGATAGTAACTGCTTCCACTTTCATTAATCTCTGGGTTGCCATCACCCCTGTCACCTTGTCTTCTATGAACTTTTCAGCAATTCATCACTTTTGTACTAATTCTCCATATTACATTACCTCTGTCCTCTTAAGTTATACAGCTGCTATTACTTTTATTTAGTCTCAAGTCTTATAAGCACGTTCAAAAAACTCCAGGTTTTGTTTTGTTTTTTTTTAAATTCCCTTACTTCTGTACAAAATAGATTTTATCTGGTGTAGGTGAAAATATTCCTTGACACCTTGCTGTGTTGACAGGAACAGTTGGAAAATTCTGAGAACCCAGCCAGTATTCCTTCCTCACTGGCTCCCAGGAGCACTGCCCTATACATTCACACTTGCTCCCAGAAGGTTGCTGTCCTCTGGCCAGCTCCAGTTACTCGGGGGATCCAGGAGTCTCAGGGCCCTGCCTCCTGCTCACAATCAGCCCTCTTCAACTTGCTCCAGGGACGTGTGGCCAGATGTTCTGGAGAAGATTCAAGTCATCTGCTATACCACCTGTTTTTCCACCAACCTGCCACACCCCACTGTGGGGTCTGAGGTGGTCACCTGGGATTCAAGGCTGTAGACTGGCAGAGCCAGGATGAGGATGAGACAAGAGAGGCACCTGGGGCACAGGATTTGAGGAGATAATCACCTCAGGGCTGTGCAAGTACAGTTAGGAACACCCCCTACATATTATACAATAGTCACCTTTCTGTCCCACGCTAGTTACACCCCTGTAGACCAGACTTTGCCATAAAAGCACAAAACAACATAGAATGTCAGGGTTGGACATAGGACTCAACCACTTAGCGGGGTCTAAAATACAGATTCCTGGGCTCACGCCCAGACCTACAGATCCAGAATCTTTGGGAGGCGGGGAAGGAATCTATATTTTAATAAGGAGTTTCCGGCCCTTGTAAATTGACAGTCAAGAATCGCTGTTGCTTGATGCTTACAACAGGCAGCCCAGCCTCCCAAAGTGGTTTGCTTCCCATCCAAGACACTGACTATCAGGAATCTTATTACTCTGCCTTGCTGTAACTTCACACCCTATCGTCTATCTAATGTTCGAATGACATTGAATAAGTTTTATCCCTTTTCTACATGTCAGTCCTCAACTCCTTAAGCTTCCTCTCATGTCTGAAACCCCAAATCCAGGGCTTTTACCCTCTTTATTCACCAGTCCCTGCTCATGGAACTCTTCCTGGAATGCCATCTGCATGTATGGAAAGCAAGAAGTGAGAAGCAGCTCTCCATAAACAGGCCTGCACTACCAACTAAAGCTAAGTCACTGAAATGAAGTATCTCCAGCAGTAACTTAAATGCCAGGAAATGCATTAGCTCTGCATCCGAACGCCTAACCTTTTAAAAGCTCCCCGGGGGTGCTCTGCTGCGCCCCCTGCCGGCCTTGAGAAGTACTCCAGGGCATGAAAGCCGGCGGGGAGGGGGCGGGGTGCATCACCCACACGTGGGAGTGGGAAACGCAGATAACCCGCCCCTCCAAGGAAAAAGCCGCGAGCTGCTGTCACGCAGCAGGTGAGCAATCCAAAGCGAGAAACAGGAATAAAGTGTGCTGCAGGGAGGGGGGACCACAAAGGAAGAGAGAAGTCCCACAGATTTTTAGACCTGGACCACTGGGACCCCAGTGTGGCTGAGTTCTGACCCAGCTCTGGTCTGGCTCTTTCGTCAGCTAAAAAGGTGAGTCAGGACAGTCTCTACAGAAATACTCCTAGGTGTAGGTTTCTCGGAATTATTCAGAGGAAGATGACAGTATGCTGATGTATGCTTCCTGGAAAGAAAACGCCTGCGTGTGGAAGCGCTTTTCTTAATTGCGTGGAGGGAGGGAAAAGCTTAATCTTCACTGAGTCTAAAGAAAATGGTTTTTCCCACAGAAAGAATAGTCCTAAAGGAACAAAGAACTACCAGGCAAAAGGAAGCTGTTGGAGACTTTTGGGAACAACTTGCTGAGGAAGGGGCAGGGAGCGGGGTCACCACCTGAGGCTCTGAGCAGGTGGCTTTGACTTGGTCACTGTGTAAACGTGGTAGAGCTCCAAAGGGGCACATCTTCCACTTCCTAGGAACTGAGCCAGCAAGGGCACATGGGGAGGTGGTGGGATGACTCTGGCACACAGTGGGTGTGCCACCACTGGGTGATTTCATGAGTGATGGAATTGTGAGGAGAGGAACTCAACGGGGGAATATGGATAGAGCTGCAGATAATTAAGGTTTTGTGTCCTGAGCACTTGACATATTCAAGGATATTGTTTAACATCTGCTGTTGGAGGAACAGGTATGGGCATGGTTTGTGTTTAACATTCAATGTTATTCAAAACCAAGGAGTAAGTTGGGGTCCTCCCACATCTAATTTAGGAGTAAGCAATTTCCTCAACAACTCAGTCACTAACAACACAATCACTGAGTCAGAGATGTGTTGTTCTTCTGTCAGGTTAAGGGGTTCAGGGTGAAAGGTAAAGAAATGCTAAATTCTGACCCAGTGCTAAACGTCAACAAAAACTTAGATACCTGTAGATACAGGCTTGCTGTTGAAATATGACACATCGTGAGGTTCAAAATAAAATAGTGTAGATTTGAACACCAGCACTGGGAACATCAGACAGACATAAAAGGGTTTTTCAAAGTATTGGCATTTTGGACCAGATAATCCTTTGTTAGGGTGGCGGGGGCTGTTCAGTTTCTTGTAGGATGTTTAGCAGCATCCTCTTGAGACTGGCCACCATATCCACACCAGTCATGACAATCTTTAATGTCTCTTGGGGAGACAAACTCGCCCCTGGTTGAGGACCATTGAGGTCAATTGAATTGAATATGGAAAATGTGTTAAGAAAGTCACTTGGCAATTATAAATTCACTCCCTCATGCCCTTTATTATTACTAAACTTCTAGGAAAGAAAGCAACAAGAGCTATGATCACTGTTTTGGGTGCAGAAGCAAATGTGAGACAGATAATTCCATTGCTGTCGTACACAAGGAAGGACTTCTAAGTCTCTGTTGAGTCACACTGGAGAGAAGGTAACTGCCTATTTCCCTTCCCCCATCTTTTCCTGTGAGTCTGTGTGCTTATATATATACAAGAGAATTTTCTACCAAGTTAGAAAAAAATTCATTTTCTTAGTATTTAGAAAGTTTAGAAATAGACTAAATGGAATGATGAATTACTATGGGCTCCCCTCTCTTGAGCACCTCCTCTATTGGAGGGGTGCCCTTACTGAAGGCTTCATTTGAAGGGGTAAGGGGAGCATGCAATTGGCTCTTGTGAGTTTTCACGTCCTCACCACAATTGTGAATAGCTCTTTCATAGTATTTTGAGTTTGAGTGAGTTCTGTGTGAATAAACAACCCTGTTCACTACTATTTTCTCAAACTGCAGTGGGTTTTTGTAGATTGTACTCAAAAGATCTCTATTTTTGCTTTGAATTGGAACAAATCCCTATCAAAGGTCAGAAAAGGTAATTCACAAAGGGTACATACAACCAGAAAACAAGCAAAGAAAGAATGTGCAATATCACTGTAATAAAAAATGCAAATTACAGTGATAATGAAATTACATTTTTGTCTATTAAAGTAATAAAGATGCTTTAGTTTTTCTAGCACCCAGTGCTGGCTAGAGTGTGGTAAAACTGGCGCTTTCATATATTGTTAGTGGCACTATAAATGGATTCAACTCTTCTGGAAATTAATTTTGTCTCCAAAGTCAAAAAATGACTTACATTTTCAAATTCAGTAATTCCCCCATCTAATTAGTTATTCTTAGGGAACTTTCTAATGTATGAAAATAATCAATTTTCATGGAAGATAAATCTCTTAGAATTAATCAAAATAGTTAAAAATTGTAAGCAAATATCAACAAACATGGTTTAATAGAGAGTGATATATATCCTGCCTTGTGAAAGGTAACAAAGCTGTTAAAATAATGGTCATGAAGACCACAAAGTAACACAAATAATTCTTATGTCAAAATATCAAGTGTTAATTTCATGAGTCCAGTGAAAACAACCACCTGAAATGTGAGTGTGTGTGCTTATATATATACACATGAAATACGTAGACACTTACTTGAAAGAAAAGCTCAGAAATACTAGCAGTTTTGGCTGAGGAGTTCTGCAGTTGTTTATCATGATCTAATTTTCCTGTTAATTTGCTTTCATAGTTTTACAGATGGTATTCCAAAGGAGAGAATATTTCCCACCACCATCCTATCATACTTCCCCTTTTCCTTTCTTCTATCAGCTGACTCATTTCTGCTGATGTCCTCACAAGTTGCTTTTATCTTTGGAATTTGGGAGAACCACTTTTCAATATTACTTCTGCAGTGTTTTAAATTATAAAGGAAACCTGCTCATGGGCCAAGCAGTAGGAGGGATAAAGTGGAGATGAAAACACTGATATCTTATTTGGTTCCCCTATGTTCCTGAAGGAATTATGCTCAGTGAAATAAGCCAGAAGGAAAAAGAAAAATATCGGATGGTTTCTCTTAGAGCAGGAATGTAGGGGAACCAAATAAGACACCAGTGTAAAAAAAAATAATAACAATACAAAACACAACAAAGTAAAAACAGACAATTATAAATCAGAGACATCCTGCAGAGGAGGAGGAGGGAGAGGAATCAGAGGGAGGGAGGGAGGAGCACAGGGGACTGAGGTGATGGTGCACGGGTGCATTGGTGCAGGAAATTCTATGGGGACCACACCTGAGGGGGTGGGGGGGGGAAACAAATATTGTTAAAAAATGAGCAATGATATAAAAAATTTAAAAATTAAAAAAATAATATTTTTTAAAAACAATGAATAAATAAATATATGGAATACCAAAAAAAAAAAAAAAAAAACCCTAAAAGGTGACTTTAAAAAAAAAAAAGGAAAGAAAACACTTCTCATGCTGGACTCCCTCTGGCCCTGCTCTGACTCACAGTTCCTCTCTGCACAGGTCACCAACCACAGGCTGGTGTGTGCACTTTGTCTTTTCCCTGCAGTTACGTAGACACGCAGACATTTTTTACATGAATAAAATGGTACTCTGCACGTCACCTGCCCACTCTGGTTGTGATAGGTTGTGCCAAATTGCCCCCCAGAGAAGTGGCTTCTTTTATAGTCCCTCCAACAAGGTATCCTCAGTTCTGGTTCCCTTTCTCCACACTGAAATCCTGAACTGCTCATTATTTGCTAATTTGATAAGTAAAAATGATCTCTCTCAGTTGTCTTAATTAACATTTTGTTCCTTGTCACGGAAGCTGACCACAACTTACAAAGTCGATTGACCAGCCTTTGGGGAGAATGCGTCTTCTCTTTCTGTCTGAGTGCCAGAACCCAGTTCCTATGTCATAGCCACCTGTGTCTTAAGGAACGTTCTTTAAGATATGACAGAATTAGCAGCATATCATTCATTTTTAGTTCTTGTACATCTGGTCAGTTTATGAAAATAGAAGGCTTGAAGGAATAAGAATCACCTCTTAAAATGGGTCCAAGACCTGTACATTATTTTGGTTTATTCTGTTAGATGACACTTCAATGATTACCTATAAGGATATGACTGATTTTTTAAAAAAATTGATGCTTTTTCCATTATTTGCAGCTAGTGGCTAAGGAGATTAGTCAATTTGAGATATTTGAATTTAAAAAAAAAATCTATGCATCTCTACACTTTTTTTTGTAGAATAATTTTTTTTAAGAACAATAGTTCTTAAAGGTTTGCTAGAAACTAAAGCATGTGTCTTTCACCTGAGTGACCTCAGGTACCAATGTTTGTGTCTTTCTGCTGGGACACAGATAATATAGACAGTTCCTATATTATCTATGGGTTTTGAAAGGGACTCTCTTGGGTTGTAGGAGGCACAATTCAACATGCATTTCACAGGAAATTTACCCACTTGTGGCACCACCTCATGAGTATAAAGAATTTGCCCTTATTTCCCCTTGCCTGTTATTTGCCTTCTGGGGCACAGCCAGACAAGGTGTGACCTGTATCCAGATGTGAAGTCCACATCACCGTAAGGTTATGTACATACCGCCTCCATGGCAACAGGGCCTGGGTGACCGAAGTTCACATGTGAAAGTCCACAAGGGCTGTGGGAGAAGCAGGGTAGTAGGACATCTAAGCAGAGATAAGACAGGCACACAGAGAGAGGTGCCGCGTCCTTGTAATGTGACCAGGAATAGCAGTCCCGTTTCTCTTCACAGCTGCTTGGTCTCCTCGGCAGACATGAAGCCGGGAGGCCGCCTCAGCTCTGGCCACTGTGCAGAGCACACACTGTGCCGTAATGTGCAACACGTACCTGCTCTTCACATCAAGGACGCGAGGAAAGGAGTTATCCTTCTAGGTTAGGGGGATCCTGGGGCGCCCCGATGGTCCTTTATCTCCTTCTGAGCTTTTAAATAATTGCTTGTCCTTGGGTTTGCTTTTCTAGATGGGGTTGAAGTGACTTAGCTTATGTGGCACCCCTGTGGTAACAGACTTCCATAAATGTGGATGCCAACAATTAATGTGTGATTCAAACAGACTCAGCACTGACTGTGTGTTCACAAAAGGGCATGCACCCCACCAGCCTGAGTTCATGAGTGTTTGTGGGAAACAGTGCAGGATGCAAAGGAGGCAGTTGTTGGCTCAGGGCTGCAGTTTCCACAGTTTTCTGCTGTGAGGACATCAAGTTGACAGTGTTTGAGAGAACATTATAGAAAAAAATGGAACCTCTTAAAGAACATTTGAATAGTAATTTGTGGAATTATTCATTGAACATATATAGAAGGCTTGTCTGTGCTGGCGAGATAAAGATTCACACATGTCTTTCATGGTTGCTTCTAGAAAGGCAGCATCTGGAGGCGCGGTCAGAGAGGGTTCTCTGAGGATCACCCAGCTCTGCATGTTGGGTGGGGAATGGGAGCAGGCGACCTGGGGCTGGGTGATATACCTTTTGACCGATCATCAGAGCCGTCCAAGTCCATCCTGGGGGAGGGGGATCAGGCACCTCAAGTTCACAGATCTTAAGAAACCTGCCTCCTATGTAACTGTGTGACCTTGGGCAAGTGCTTACCTCTTTCACCCTGGGTTTCCTCCTCTGTGAAAAGGGCTAATACTCCTTGCCCAGACAGAGCTGACAGGGAGGGCACACTGACATCCTTGCAGCCCCTGACTCGCCTGGGGAATCTTTCCTTTTAGGTGTCTTCCCCTTTTCTCCAGCTTTTGGTGAGGAAGAGAAAATGTGGACTTGGCTGTCACAGAGTCAGCTTTTACGGGTCATGAAGGCCTGGTTTCAAATTCCAGGTCAACTACCTACCAGCTGGTGCCTTTGAACAAACTGATTTGAAGCTCAGTTTTCTTTGCAAAATGAGGCACGCCTGCTTTCTGGGGTACTGGGGAGTGTGTGTGTCAAATGTGGAACATGTGGAAAAGCTTGCAGGGTGCTCATGCTCTGCTCCTGTCTGGAGGCTTCCGTCATGCTGACCTTACTTACTGTGAAGGGGATCCTACAGACTCCAAGCTGGGTTTTGAGTGTGACATGTCCCGGAAGCCAAGTGACAGGGGATAAAAACTCCATATCTCTTTCTAATCCCGGGAGACAAAAGCTCTGGCCGAATCACCCTGCCTGCAAGTTAACAGAGGATCAGCAGGAAGGAGAAGCTGCCAGAGCAGAGCTGCTTGCCAGGGCAGCCTCCAGCCAGCAGGCCCATTGAGTGATCTTGGTGGAGCAAAGCGCAGTGAGCAATAGCTTTAGGAAAAATGGGTGTTCCTCCTTCACTTGCGCCCCTGTCCCTGCACCACTAACCATCCCTCACCCTAGGGGAGGCCCTGAGGGCAGCACTGCTGACACTGTGCTCCCCTGCTCTGCAGACTTCTGCACTACTGGCCTTGTTGGCTTTTTAAAGGTATGCTTGCAGATGGAGATGTGCCTATTCAGGACAGTCCTGGAGAGACTGTGTATATAAAGTAAAAATATTTGCTCCAGTTTCTGTCAGGATCAGCCAGCTCCCGCAGGAGTCACACTCTCCTGAGCAACAAAATGGTAGAAAAGTATAGAGCTGCCCCACACCCAAGTATTAGGGGCAAAGGGACAGAGAGACCTGCCTCTTGCTTTTACAGAGCTCCCTCATTCCCTGGGGCAGGAGAATTTACTGGCCTACTCCATGAATTGGATTTTTGCAGTGTATTAAAAAAAAAAGGAAGGTAAATCCTTTCTCATATTGTTAACCAATTTGCTCAAGACAGACCATAGCAAGTCTGCAGTGAAGCTGGGATGGGTATCCAGGACTACTGGGTCTTCGTCCAGGCCATCATGGTCAAATCCATGATCACCCTTCCTCCTTGGGCCATGGAAAGTGATGTCCTTAGGGGGTGCAGACACCTGTGTGAGGAAATGAGAAGGGCTCTGGCTCTGTCAACATAACAAATTCTGGATCAAATTCTGGCATTGCCAGTTGCCAGCTCTGACTTCAGAATGAATTTACTGTCTCAGAGTCTTTGAGCCTTCAGCTATACAACAGAGTTCATACGACTTCCCTGGAAGGGTTAAATATGAGAAAATGTATAGAGAGAGTTAACACAACACCTGGCACATAGCAATTGCTCAATAAATGAAAGCTATTCTTATCTCACCCTTCAGGCCCTATGTCTTCCCAGCTGAGTATGGTGGGAAGGCCTCTTAACTTGAACTTGATTCCATCTATATGTAAAATAAGGGGTGTCTCTCCATTTAACAACAGGTAACAAGCCACAACTTAAGGCCGACTGTGGTTGACACTGGCACCCAGAATCCCTGCTGACAGGTCATCCAGCAGGTGTAGATACAACATAAAGGTGGTTAATGTGGCTGAGTAAATCCTTCCATGGCCTTTCTAATAAATTGTTTTTGATTCCCAGAATTTTGTCATTGAGCAAGAAAAATGCCAGGTGGTCTAGAGAAGGCGTGCCATCGGTGCATTTCTAAAATCGCCAGCAATGGTGAGTCACAGCGCTGAGCAGAGCTTTTGGAATATTAGGGACTCTGGGATCACGTGACTTGTCACAGCCCACAGTGGGCCATGTAGAGGTCTGTGCTTGGCTCAGGCTGGCCACAGCATGGCATAGGGGAGGACAGTGTCGGGCTCTCTGTTGAGGCTTCTACTTCTGCTCCTTGCATATTCATCTTTAGATTGTGTTTTCAGTATATGGAAAAATATTTGAGCAAATGGAGTCATGATCCAACCTCCTGCTGGGTGTGTCCGGAGGGGCTGGACCATGTTACAGAAGGCTCAGCGTATATCATAACATTTGGAAAATCTCAAAAGCAAATCCCAAACCTGGGAGCTCCTTGAGATGAAAGCATTTACCTCGTGGCAAATGAGGTACATGGTCTAACTTTCAGACAAATGAAATGTAAATAAAGGGAACCTGGTGGGAAGCCTTAATCAAGTAAGCATAGAGCAATGATTAAATAATATCGGGACAGTGGGATCAGTAGGTCTCAATAGGCAGTGCAGACTAAGGTGGAGGGCTCAGGAAAATAGATGCTGAGGAGGGGCACCATAGAATGCCCATGTGCTCCCACCCACTCCCACTTCCTCCCAGCACTTCTCATTCACTGCTGCATCCCCAGCACCTCCCTAGTGTCTGGCACACAGTAGGTCCACAAGAACTGCCCTCTAATGTCTAAGTGGTAAAAAATGAGCATCAACTCTTGGAGCTGAGCTTTTCTAGTGGGTGTGCCCAGCCCACCTCATCATCCTCAGACACAGCCTGACATTTCACTCCCTGGGCCAGTTTTGGGGTTGCCCCCTTTACCCCTAGAGCATACCTGGTGTGTGGGGCCACAGTGGGGCAGTGGCACTGGATCTCAGAGACTCTCATGCTCTGACAAGAAAGAAGTCATAACATGTAGGTGGCTGACTGGCCTGGCGGGGAGGAAACACCAGGCGCTCTGTGCACTGTTGCTCTACTCCCTCCCCACCCACCTCGCATGCACCGCCTACCTACTCATGTACAGGTGACACCAAATTGGCAAGAGAGGAGTGTTATCCTTGGGGCTTTCCAGAAAAAGAGCTATTTCCTGGCTGCACAGGAGGCCCCCTGGTCTACATCATCAAATTTTCAAAGGCCCTTGTATGGTGATAGGAAACTGTCCATCAGCCCTGCCCTAAATATGGTTTCCATGGGGCCTGAGCTTTTACCCTTCATTTTCCATCCCCAGCCTGGTCAGTGATGGGGCATCCTAGGTGCTTGCCCTGCCTCCAGTCCAGTGCCCTCAGCACGTCCTCCACGTGCAGCCAGGGCACTCCCTGCAGGCTCACTACTCCCATTCCTGAAGACATAATGGCAGTCAAATTCTTTGAAAGCCCCTTCATGAGCTAACTCCAGTTTATCTCTTTGTCATCTCTTTTTTCTGTTCTTCTCCTGGAAAATTCAGCCAGACAAAAACATTTTAGTTTCTCTCAAAACACCGGGTTCTCTGTCCCCTGGGCCTTCCAAAATGCATTTCTTTGAACTCTCACCCCTCCCAACTGTCCCTCAGGTAAAGACAGGAGCAGGCAATTGTCCTCAGTAGATACTAAATCTAAGAAGGTATTCTGAAGGCCAGTGGGATTTGCATTGTCTTAGACTCTTCCCAAAGACTCTTCCTACCCCTTGGTTGTAAGGAAGAGAAAAATGGTAATTAAGCTGGGGAAAAAAATGGAGAAAACTTTGAGTAAGGTTCAATATTAACATCACCAATGAGGGACAGAGCACCATCATCTATGAAAAAATCTGACGGAGAATGTGCAAACTTCATCTAAGCACAAAGGAAAATCCAACAAACCCAAAGGGAGGAGCATTGTATTAAAAAAGAACAGAGTGAAGAGTCTGTTTGGGCTGCTATTGCAAATTACTGTAGACTGGGTGGCTTTGAAACAACAAACCTTTATATCTCGCAATTGTGGAGGCTGGAACATCCCAGAGCAGGGTGCCAGTGTGGGGAGGGTCCTCTTACATCTTCCAGACCTCTGACTTCTCACATGGCAGAGAGTGGAGAGGAAGCCAGCTCTCCTGGGTGTTCCTGGCAGGGACACTAATCCCACACAGGAGGACTCCATCCTCACAGCCTACATAATCCTAATTACCTCCCTAACACCTCATCTGGAGTAGGGTTTCAACATGAATTTAGGAGGGACACAGGCAATCACTCCAACATTCTATGTAAAACAAAGAATGGCTTTGCAAGTGTTCTGGATTCAAGGGTTAAGGAAACGTGGCAACAAAACACAATACCAGACCCTACATTGGATCCAAGGACTTTATTAGTCAACCAAACTGGGATATGGATGGTAGATTAAAGCCTTATATCCATGCAAATGTAAGAAGTTGCCAACTTTCCAAGGTGATAGAAGAGAACAGTCCTAACCTTAGGGGATACAATGGGATTGTTTCCAACAAGAAAAGTTCAAAAACTTAGAACAAGAAGCATATAGATGGAACACTGAGTTGGCAGATATCCCAGTGCTTGCTCTGTGACTCTCTCTACTTTTCTGAATGTGTAAGAATTTTCATAATTAACATTCCTTTCAGACTGGAAAAAAGCCTCCCTAGTTTTGTCCCAAATTTCTTAAAATGTTCCACTAGATGCCTAGACACCACAGTCTTTTCCTTTAAAATGACTTTTCATTTTTCTTTTCTATGGTTTTCTACATTTTCCACATTTCTTATAAAATAGTATATACTTCTGTACTGAGAAGGAAAGTTGTATTTTAAGAATAATCTTCAGATATCCCCTAAGGCTGACGTGTGACTGGTTCCGAGCCATATGTGAAGTTAGCTAAGTGATAGGGGAGGAGTCGGTGCAGGCCTCAGAGGAGAGAGCTGTGTGCTGTCCATCTGTCCAGGGAACAGGGGAGTTTCTGCCATCCCCAGGTCCCCCCCAAGCCTCCTGGAAGAGCTTTTGGGAGCTCTCCTGGCCGCTGCCCAGCCCTGACCATCAGCCTCTCCATCCCCCTGTTCTTTTCATCACACTCACTGCTACAGTACATTTGCTCCCCCATGCCCTGACCCTGGCCTAGAGGATCACCTTAATAGCAGGAAGCAGTGGAGTCGTGATAAATGCCCGGGTGGTGTGTGCTCCAGCCTGCACATGGTAACTCAATGAAATGCGACAAGTGCGGTGAACCCAGGTCACTGGCGTCTGTCAGGGCATCCTGGAAAGCCTCCTTAGCTCCACATGGTGACAGCAGCCAAAAAAAAAAAAAAAAAAAAAAAAGGCCCAGCGAAGCCCAGGCTGGGGAGGAACACCGGCAGAGGGGTTCTCCGCTTGCCCTCCCCAGACTGAACCCAGAGAACTATGACTCAGATGTGAGCAGTCCCCCAGAAGTGGAGGGGGCCTCACACAGCTCACCACACTGAATACAGAGGAGGGTTTTATTTTACAATGCTGGCTATGAAGAATAGCACATTGTTTTCTTTCATTTTCAATGTACTTTAAAAACCTTTGATTTTCTGCCCTTCTAGATAAAATTAATCTGACTTCAAGTTCTTTCAAGAAAATCAGTCTTGGGTCTGGTGGGTCATAGAATAGTTTAGGCTGTGGGAGGTGGGGGATCATGTTTACCTGTTTGGGGACGGGGGATGGGATGCTTCTGCCCTCTGGGCCAGGTCATCGTGACCTCTGCCATCCTTTGTACAAACCTTTGGGAACTTCAAGAAAATGACTCCTGGCAGCTCAGGACACATAGCTCAGGAGCAGATTGTTCTTGTTGGACAAAAAGGGCAACTCTTCTTCCAGAAAAGAGGGGTTTCTGCCTTCACTCACCCCCTGAACCTCACCCAGTTCCCTTTGCTGCCTAAACCATAGGGTGGTACTCTCTGTCCTTGCCATGGGGCCAGCACGGGTGTCAATCCTGGGATATTGGGGTCATGATGAACCTGGGGGTTTGGTGTCTCCTCCCTTCCATGCAGCTATTCCATTCGATGCTGCAAGGAAGGGGGTCACAGACCACATGTTCCCCCCAAAAAACTCCATTCTCTATTATTGCCAGAGTCTTCCCCCTCCCTCCGTTGATCCTCCTCCATGGGGCATTTTCCTGAGTCTGTTTATCTTGTGACAGTCCTGTACTGCCCTGGGTGGATTCTGAGGAGCACAGTGTCACCATTGCTTCTCAGGGATCGGAGAAAGAGACCTAACAAGTGTCATTCAGGTACTTCTTGGTAACTCGCCCTGTTACATGGCAGTTGAAAGTCTCAAATCTTTGCAAAGTCAAGAATGTGGGAAATGGTGGTAGAAACTCCATGCTGGAGCTCTATACGCCCAGACTCACCTGCACGTTAAGTGTAGTAAAGTCTGAAGTAAACACAAGTCCTTTCCCCTCTGTTCCTCCTCTTTCCATTCCTCACATTTCTGTGAGGCTGTCGCCATTTTTGTTCCAAGCTGGAGTCATTTTATAGCCCTTTCTTTCCTTTAGTACCGTGTGGAACTGGTATCCAAGGCTGTGTCCATGCCTCGTGATCGATTATTCTGCTGGCTAAATTACAGACCAGCCCCTTGCTGGTGTCTCTACCAGTATATTGCCACTGGGCCCCATTTTTGTGCCAATGATTTAACTTTAAATATGTCACTTCCCAGCTCCAAATCCTACACCTCCCTTTATCATAGTAATAAAATCCAAATGCCCTGATGCAGAATGGTCTCGATTCTCAATATCTCTCATTTACCTATAATGGTTGGCCTGTGCTCAGCTCAAGTTGATGATTTCCTTCCCCCCCAAAGCACCCTGAGTCTTTCTTCCTGGGACTTCTTGTTTCCTTCTGGATTTTCCCTTTGACTGATAAGCCATCTCCTTAGAACTCAACCCACAATTCCAAACTTTCTCTGTCCATCAACACCCAGTGCTAATATCACCTTCTTCTGAAAGTGTCCCTTGATGTCCTCAGGCCCCTTTGTGTCCTAGGCCTCCTTAATGTTTCATGCCCTTCAGGGGGCCCCTTTCACACACTGATTTGTG